TTCTATTGTATTATTTAAAAAAAAAAGATGTTGAGACTCAGAAAAGAATGCAGAGAAGAGGAAGGATGACAATCAGGGGCCTGGAGGCTAAAACATATGAAGAACGGTTGCAGGAATTGGTTGTGTCTAGACTAGAAAAAAAAAAAAAGAAGGACTGGGGTGACAGGATAGAAATGTTCCAATATTTGAGGCGCTCCCACAAAGAGGAAGGAGGTCAACCTATTCTCCAAAGCACCTAAGGACAGGATAAGAAGCAGAGGATGGAAACTAATCAAGGAGAAAAGCAACCTAGAACTAAGGAGGAAATTCCTGACAGAGAGGACAATTAACCAGTAGAGCAACTTGCCTCCAGAGGTTGTGGGTGCTCCATCACTGAAGGCTTTTGAGAAGAGACTGGACAGCCCCTTGTCCAGAATGGCATAGGGTCTCCTGCTTGAGCAGGGGGTTGGACTAGAAGATCTCCAAGGTCCCTTCCAACTCTGTTACTCTGTTGTGTTCTTAAGGGGTATCTTACATTGGTTCCCTGCAAACAGCAGAAGGACGCTAATGTATGCCTGATTATCTTCTGTTTCATGTGCTATTCCTTTAAAGAAGTAATAATCCATAATTAATTTGGTATAACTAGTCCTGTCCTTCTCCGTTTGTTCTCAAGTTATATTTCCATATATCGTGCTTCAATGAACATCAAAGAGCCAACAAGGCTCTAAGAAAAACAACAAACCAAGGCACTGAATTAATCTCCATTAAGAAAGGAATTCCTTATTTGCATTAATACATGCAAAGGAGTAAGGAAAGAACAGAAAGGAAAGAGAATTAATCATGTTTCCCCCCTCTTGATGACGACCTGACGACCCCCTGATGACCCCCTCCATTTCAGTTTCTCCCATCAATCATATCTCTTAATTTAAATTAAATAACTAATAACCAATTAGATGGCCATGCACAGCTAACAAATATCCAGATAAAATATTTATTTCACAATAGTTTTAATTCTGGGTAGAAATTGAACAACAAAGCTATTCTTTTGAAATAAGGACTATCTGAAAGAAAACGTTAGAGAATAAGATTTCACCTTTTTTTTAAAAAAAAACACTATTTCAAGAATGCATATAGTAAAAAAGATGTTTAGCATAAGAATATTCTACAATTGGGGAGAGAAGGTGTATTATCTCAGGTTCCTGGCTCATTGAAGCCTGACAAATATGTGATATTATGTAGTTATTAGAAATATAACAAGAAATAAAACAGAGGCCATTTCATCTCTTTGAAATGGGATAGCTGATTTTGCCTGACTATAGCATAGCTCTGATATATTCATTAAGCCACTTACTAAGTAAGCAGTGGGTACCACAAGGTTCCGTCTTAGGCCCAGTTCTCTTCCATATCTTCATAAATGACTTAGAATGAAGGAATAGAAGAGGAACTCATCAATTTTGCAGATGATATTAAGCTGGCAGGGAACAGACAACACCCCAGAAGACAAGCTTCTGTCTTCTGGATCCAAAAAAATCTTGACAGACTTGAACAATGGGCCCTATCCAACAACATGAAATTTAATGTGGAGAAAAGCAAGGTTTTACACCTAGGCAGGAAAACCCAAAGGCACAAGTACAGACTAGGCGAAACCTGGCTCAAAAACAGTAACTACGAGAGGGACCTTGGCGTCCCAGTGGACGATCACTTAAACATGAGCCAGTCATATGCGGAAGCAGCCAAAAAAGCTAATACAATCCTTGGTCGTATAAATAGAGGCATAGAATCAAAATCACGTGAAGTATTAGTACCGCTTTATAAAGCCTTAGTAAGGCTACACCTGGAATGCTGCATCCAGTTTTGGTCACCACATTACAAAAAAGATGTTGAGACTTTGGCAAAAGTGCAAAGAAGAGCAACTAACTGTTTTAATCAGAGAAAAAAAATATGGTATATCCAATTTTGTTTCTACTTGGAAATTACTTCTGTACTTTGTGCTTAAGATAGAAAAAAATGAAATTTTGACTTCGGCTTTTGCTGATTAAACTAGCTTGCTATTACAGAAATACTAGTAGTTGTTATGTAAAAAGTTGAGGCTGTAATTTTATTTTGTATTTTACTGCACTGAAAAATATTGGAAGTCAATGCTTTTTTTGGCCTTGTCTCTTACCTCTTCCTTCCTTCCTTCCTTCCTTCCTTCCTTCCTTCCTTCCTTCCTTCCTTCCTTCCTTCCTTCCTTCCTTTCTCTTTTCCCACTTTCTCAATATTTTTATTTTCATTTGTATTTTATATTCTTAATAAATACTTTGTGTATGGTTCACAAGAGGCAAGTATACTTCAAACACTAGAAATGTGTCTGGAAATTGTTCAGCTAATTACTTGGCTAAAACAGAATCACATTAGCAGATATATTTAAAAAAATATATAGAGAAATTGCCCACAATAGGTGTATCCACAGAAAAGCATGGAGATCACATCTCGGCATGTTAGTAGGCCAAGATAGGATTTGTGTTCTAAGTTATAAATGGCTAATTGTCTTAACTGCAATGAGAGGACAGTAATATAGAAATGGAGTTAATTAATCACTATGGTGATCAATACATCAGTGGTTCAAGTCACATGTCCACAATTGTAGCAATAGCAATAGCACTTATACTGCTTCACAGTGCTTTACTGCCCCTCTCTAAGTGGTTTACAGAGTCAGTATATTTGCCCCCAACAATCTGGGTCCTCATTTTACCAACATTGGAAGGGTGGAAGGCTGAGTCAACCTTGAGCTGGTCAGGATCGAACTCCTGGAAGTGAGCAGTGAGTTAGCCTGTAGTACTGCATTCTAACCATTGTGCCACCACAGCGTTCTTCATGGCTTGAGTTACATATAATATTATGCCATCAACTGTGGTACACAAACCTCATAAAAGAAGAACGGACAGAAAAACGGAGCAGAGATGGCAAAAATTAACTGTTTTAATCAGAGAAAAAATATATCCAATTTTGTTTCTACTTGGAAATCACTTCTGTACTTTGTGCTTAAGATAGAAAAAAAATGAAATTTTGACTTTGGCTTTTGCTGATTAAACTAGCTTGCTATTACAGAAATACTAGTAGTTACGTAAAAAGTTGAGGCTGTAATTTTATTTTGTATTTAATGCAGTGAAAAATATTGGAAGTCAATGCTTTTTTTGGCCTTCTCTCTCCTTCCTTCCTTCCTTCCTTCCTTCCTTCCTTCCTTCCTTCCTTCCTTCCTTCCTTTTTCTTTCTCTTTTCCCACTTTCTCAATATTTTTATTTTCATTTGTATTTTATATTCTTAACAACAACAACAACAACAACAACAACAACAATAATAGTCCCAGTATTAATAGGTGCCTATTAAACAACTGGAGCACCACTTGAACACCACTGGCATTGACAAAATCATCGCCCGTCAATTGCAAAAGTCAGTTTCAAATTCGCCATTAGTCAATTGCAAAAGGCGGCCTTACTAGGAACTGCCTCCATCCTGCGACGATATCTGTAATAACATCAAACATCCACATCTGCCTATCCCAGGTCCTGGGTAAGGACTTGATAGGTAGACAAAATGCCAAATCCAGTCTGAACATCTGGCTGACTGTGCAATGATCAATAATAATGATAATGATAATGATAATAATAATAGTCCCAGTATCAATAGGTGCCTATTAAACAACTGGAGCATCACTTGAACACCACTGGCATTGACAAAATCATCACCCGTCAATTGCAAAAGGCAGCTTGAGTCAGAACAGCTTACATCCTGCGATGAGACCTTCAACACCATCAAACAAGAACATCTGCCTATCCCGGGTCCTTGGGAAGGACTCGATAGGTGGACCAAAAATGCCAAATCCAGTCTAAACATCTGGCTGACTGTGCAATGTACCATAATACAGGTAGTCCTTGATTTACAATCACACTGAGCCCAAAATTTGTGTTGCTTAAGCGAGACATTTGTTAAGTGAGTTTTGCCCCATTTTACAACCTTTCTTGCCACCGTTATTAAACAAATCACGGCAAATTAGTTACGTTTGTTAAGTGAATCTGGTTAACCCATTGACTTTGCTTGTCAGAAGATCACAAAAGGTGATCACATGATCCCAGGACACTGCAACCGTCATAAATCTGAGTTAGTTGCCAAGCGTCCGAATTTTGATCACGGGGATGATGTAATGATCGTAAGCGTGAAAAACGGTCATAAGTCACTTTTTTCAGTAATGTTATAACTTTCAACAGTCACTAAATGAACTGTTGTAAGTCAAGGACTACCTGTAATAATAATAAAAACCATGGTGCACAAGCCACAAAGACGGGCTTCTGAAAAGATGCTCTCAACAAAACCAAACAAGGACCAAATAAATCTCCAGGGTCCAATTCTTAGCCTCTCTCCCTAAGAAAGGGTTATTAATAGCTTTATGACTAAGACAGCTGACCAGAAGAGACACCTTCTCAGTTCAGCTGACTTCGTGGGAGTGTTGTAGGAATAAAAGGAGGAGGCGGAGGCGATCTCTCCTGTACAGCATTTGATTCCCAGGAAAAGGAAGCCTACGGCAGTTTAGATAAATACGTGCGAAATTCAAGGAAGGAAACAGGACAAAAAAAAAAAATCCTAAGAGGTTTTAACTGTACTAGCTGTAACTAACCAAAGATGACGCTGATCCACCGTCAAGGGCACTGCAGGAATTTCACAGGCATCTGCCCAAGTTAACTTAATCACAGTGGACTCAACGGGGAAGGGAGGCCTTGAGCTAAAGAAAACCCTGAATTTCCTAATGAGCAATGCCTCCCCCGCCCCAAAACAAAATGTCTACAATGCAAACATCAAAGCAACAGGACTTGGAGATGGTGGGAAAGGCATTCCCTAATGAAAATGTAGGGCATAAATTGCCTCTGGAAATAACCACATAAATCCCCAGCGATCAGCTGTCAGGGAGTAAATGCCCGATCTAGTCTGAAGTCTTGCACTGAGCCATAGATAGAAGCCAAATATTGGAAGGAGGGCCCACCTACCTCCCAATCCAGGACGGACGCCTGCCACTGAGCGATCTTGTCTATGTTCTCCAGTCTCCTCTTCCGCTCGTTGATCTGCTGGGTCACGTTCCTCATGACAGCAAGCGCAGCGGCCACGTACCGGTAATCACTGGGCAGAAAAAGGGGTGGGGGAACAGCCTGTAAAATTACAGCAGCCATATAACAGTGGTGGATGTCACCTGGGAACATGACGAAATGTGCATGGAAGATTGGATCAAACAATTTAAGCCTAAGAGAGCCATTCTGGTAGACAGTGGTTCTTTGGTGTCTCCCAAAGATGTTTAGCTATGTAACCCTTCAACTATAAAATTAAATCTGATACAATAAGAATTATCAGGGGGCTGTAGCCTAATGGAACGGCTTGCCTTTAGAAGTTGTGGGTGCTCCATCACTGGAAGCTTTCAAAAAGAGACTGGACAACCATTTATCTGAAATGGTCTAGGTTCTCCTGCTCAAGCAGGGGGTTGGACTAGAAGATTTCCAAGATCCCTTCCAACTCCATTATTCTATGTTCTACTCTTTGTTTCATGAGAAGCTTGCACATGTTCCTTGATCTATGGCCTGTTCGTCATCCAATATGATTGGCAAATTTTCTTCACGTGGAAGTATGGACCCCTGAATTTCATCTGAGAACTTTCTCACCAGAGCCAGTAAAGGCTGGACACTACAACAGTTTGTCTTGCCGAAGAATCCTTAGCTATAGCTTCTTGAATAAACCATGCAATGGTGGCTAGGTGAGGTAGCAAATTAGCCAAGGGTCCTGAGGAACGTTCAGACAGACTCCAAACTCAATTCAGATGGGCTATAACAAGCTCCTTTATGGTTGTGAAATTATATTAGAATTATTCTACAAGTTTTTCAGCACTCCTGCTTTAATCAGATGACATTTGATGAATTTCTTCAAAAGAAAAGAAAAAAATATGACCTTCTCACAAGTGTAAGCGTAGTATTATTTTGTCTCAAAATCATCAAGAATCTGCACACACATGTCTGATCTTTAATTATGCAATCCCTTCTCTAGGGGGATATACTCCTATTGCCCTAAGCCAGGGGTAGGCAATCTCGGCTCTTTTATGACTCATGGACTTCAACTCCCAGAATTCCTGAGTCAGCATGACTCAGGAATTCTGGGAGTTGAAGTCCATGAATTCTGGGAGTTGAAGTCCATGTGTCATAAAAGAGCTGAGGTTGCCTACCGCTGCCCTAAGCCTTTTCATATCAGGAAGTGTTGACAGCCAGGGAGTCTACAAGAGAGATGGCAAGCCATGTCATAAACACACACAGACCCTAAACAGCAGCAGCATCCATTGCAACCTAAAACACAAAACCTCAAAAAGTCCACCAGGAGAAACGCTAAAGGAATTCTCACGCATCCTGAGAATAAGGCAATGAACACCAATAGCCAGAGAAATCTTGGAGTCCTAGTGGACAATCACTTAAATATGAGCCAGCAGTGTGCTGCAGCTGCCAAAAAAGCCAACAT